TGTCCCCACCTGAATGATGAATGAATGTTGCTTACTATTTTACTTCTATGTATTGTCTGTGTCCATTGTCTGTATCCTCCCCTCCTTACTTTATGTAAGCCGCCCTGAGTCCCCTCAGGGAAAAGGGCGGCCTATAAATTCTAATAAACATAAACATAAACATAAAGATCATGACCTAATGGAAGATAGGTTTTATCATTGTTACTCCAAGGCTGGAGGCGGCCGCTTGCCAGGGGACAAGGGAGGGAGAGGCCTCCACCTTCTGCTGGTAAACATCCAAGGACATGAGGAAGTCACTGCAAAACAACCCTCCAAGACCAAGATGGACCTTCCTCTGATGCAGCAGGGCTGCCCTGGCGTCTTTAACAGGACCTCTCCTTCCTCACCCAGGACAGCCACAGGACATCTACAATATGGGAGGAACCTAGTGGAGTAAAACAGGGGAGGGGTGTTGCCATTCCCCAGTTTTGTAGACAACTGCCATTCTAGCTGTATGCTAAATGTTAGACAGAGGAGCCAAAAGCTTAGCAGCCACCATGTCTAATAAGGCACTTCAAAAAAAGAGGGAGGGGCACAAAGGTCACTAGAAGCTGCACAACCTTTTTTCAAATTTGCCTTCTAGGCCCAAAGAAAAGAGACTCTCTTAATGGCAAGAAGCTGAAGTTGAGGGAAGCAATATGGGCCCCTCCCTCTTCCTTCTTCCTCCCATTCAGCCAACATGTTAAACAGACGAGGTCCATGTTTTTCAGCCTCAACAACTTTAAGATGTGTGGATGGACTTCGTCTTCCAAAATTCTCTCTGCTGGCTGGGGAATTTTGGGCATTGAATGTATCTGATGGTTGCTGAGTTTGAGAAACACTGGACTAGGAAACATTACTGTGAAAGGCCAAAGAGCAAAGAATCCAACGCTATCTGTGGGGAATTCTGACCCACAGTCACATATTCCCCACAGATTCCGGATAAGGAGGAACACGGAGGGGTTCCTTGTGGTTTGGAAAAGAAAGCAGGCCAAGTTCCCAAGAAGCTGCCTTCACTGGAGGCTTTCCTGGAAGAGAACCAGTTCCAGGTTTTTTGAGCAAGAAAGGAGGGTAGTTTTTTTTTTCCTACCCACCAAATTAACCAGAAATTATCCCCCTTTAGCTAAACTGGCAACACTTGAATTGCGTGGGCTGTGCACTTGGGGGCAGAGCAGGCTGCACACCACAACCAGCCACAAGACAGTCACTTCCCTCTTTTTCATTCTAGGGAACTATCACCACCCTTAATTAATTAATTAATTAATTAATTAGTGCTTTTGGACACATACATTTCACACTGAAAGACATCAGCTGATCCACACAAAAGAAGGCCTTTACACCCTGACATTGTTGTTGGGAGCTGCCCAGAGTTGCTTAAGATGAGCAGCTATACAAAATCTTTTAAATAAATAAAATTAAATCAAGTATCTCGCTTTTAAGAAAAAAAAGATGAAAAGCTGCTTTTCCTTTCTGCCTAGATGTCATGGATCCAGGTGTCATCCTCCTCCTTTCTTCTGCCATTCCACTGGAGGTTAGGACTCCCTTCCCCTCCAGCACCGACTGAGGCCCCCACCTAAAGCATGTTTAATCCTTGCTGTCGGCTCCCATTAGTTTTCCTTCCTACCAAATCTATATAACTGTCCATCTCACAAACAGATATCTTGGGCAAGAATACAAGATTAAAAACAATAAATATAAAAAACAGTCATTGTTAAAATTGAACACAGACATTATTCTTTTTTTAAAAAAAGCATGCAGCACAGGAGGAGAGAGCAAGTATCGGCCACAGGGATGAAGCCATTGTAACATTTCACCTGTGCCCTGGCAGCCCCAGGCCTAGTGGCACAGCCAGGTCTAGAGGGACCCCCTGAACATCAGTAGGGATGGAACTAATCTCACTTTGGTGGGAATGTTCCATAAGGAGGCTGGGAGGAGCCCCCTCCATCCCCCACCCCCCAGGTATCTTTCATCCCAGCCTAAGTTATTCTTAGCAGCAACAGGCAGCTTCTGGGCATGAGCACCTTCCCAGGGGCTCCTCTGCAGTGAGACCCCTCCCCATTTCCCCTCCACTTGTTCTTGAGGCAGCAGTGCCACCTAGTGCCTGCCTGGCCAGAAATGGGGGAGGGGTCGGGAGGGTTGAACACCACACAGGTGTTGGCTCAAGTCAGACCTGGTCTCCCTTGACCACCTATGGGGGCCAGCAGATGCAAGACGGCCTGACAGGAGGCTGTGTCTGCCTCAGCTTCTGCAGAGCCCACCCAATTCCTTAGCCACTTCAAGAAGTGTTGGCAGGGGAATAAATCTCTGAATGCAATAAAAGAATGTGGTTTTTAAAACAGAATTGTTATCTGGCAGGCAATAAGTAATGGATGCCTTTCAGCTCAATTGATGCAGGTCCTTCTGCATTTCTACACAAACAACCTCCCCCTCCACCACCCCCTGGCCCCATCCATCAGGTGGAGGCAAGACCTACAGCCAACCTGGCACAGCCATTCCTCCAGGCCAAGGAGTGGAAGCCAGGCCCCCTAGCCGTACAGGATGGGGTATCTGCCTAGCAAGACTCCTGGGATGTCCATGTTCCAGGACATGTTTAGACTCCACCTTTCAGGGCTTAGAGCTGGGAGAAAGCCCTGGACTCCTTGGCCCACAGAGGTCCTGCTGGGCTGGCCCTGATGGTGTTTCAGGATTCAGCCCTCTTAAGCCCAAAGCTGGGTTCTCCATGCAAGACGACTGAAGAAGGGTTGGGATTCAGCAGTGCAATTGGGGCAGGTGTTGTAAAGAAAATAACAATTAATACTCATAGACTGACACTTGTTATTTAAAAAAATCTCACTTTACCCAATGAAAGGCAACATATGAACTCTATTACACTCAACACACACACACACACACACACACACACACAAACACACACACCAGTCCCTCCTAGTCCTCAGCAGAGTCTTCCCCCCCCCTTACTGGAAAAGAATTGCCATCACAACCATGTGACTTTAAGAAGCCTCCCTTCCCTTCCCTTCCCTACCCCTGAGAAGACTGTCCCAAGAGAAGAGATCTCTCCAGCTCAGGCTTGTTCTGTGGAGTTTTGGGGCTCTCTGAGCTGGGTTGTTTTCCTGCAGATGCACTGATGATGTTACCTACTTGGGTAAGTTTTTCAAGCAAATAACTCAGCTCAGAGAGCACCAAGCATGTCCACCTGCTTGCCAAGATCCTAGCCATCTCCCCATCTCCCCATCCCTTGTCCCTTCTGTAGCAGAGAAGGAGATCCAGGAAAAACTTTGACAGGACAGAAAGATCTCGCAATCAATGCCTGGTGAGGAGAAAAGCGAGCTGGATCATTTATTCTTCCGTTGAGTTCCCTTCACAGAGATCCACAGCGTATGAGGCTGAAACTCACCAAGAAATTCACAAACAATGGGGACTGGTGTCATCTATTCTGTTATTCTGTTAAATTTCCTATGCAGCTCTATCTAACAAGGGAATTCGGAGTGGAAGAAACTGCCTGCAAACTTACAATCAATCAATAAAGCTATAATAATACAATCTGAGCAACAAGACCCTATTCCAATTATTTGTGGAATCTCAGATTTTCAGGCATCTTTCTGTGTTTAATAGCAATCATAAGTACTAATTTCTGCCTTGATAATCAGCATTGTTAAACATTCTTATTGTTAAACAGCCAGTTTGGTGTAGTGATTAAGACATGAGGCTAGAAACTCCTGAATTCTAGTCCTGTCTTAGTAGGCACAAAGTCAGAAAGGTGACGTTGGGCCAGTCACTCTCTCTCAGCCCTAGGAAGGAGGCAACGGCAAACCAACTTCTGAAAAACCTTGCCAAGAAAACTGCTAGTCCAGGAGGTTGCCAGGAGTCAACATGGACTCAAAGGTCCCCCTCTGAGCCTTCTAGAATTTGAGGGTGCATATTATTTCAGTGAAAACGACATCCTTTGGTTTACTCCATTGTGTCAGTTCCCCCTCCCTTCCTGCCACACATGACTGATTCAAGTTTCCGTGGTGGGTAGAGATGGGCCAGGAAAGTGGAAGGAGAGGCTCACAGATGCATTACCCAGTGCAGACATTGCTGCCCGCAGGTGCAGCATAACGGAGCTGTTTCCAGAAAAGAATTTCCTGCATCAAGGCTATCACTCCAACCTCAACTGTCAGGGCAGTCTTCCATTCTTCAGTTCAAGGGAAGCAGACAAAGAGCTATTGGCTCCAGCTCAGAAAAACACAGAGCTGCCAAGTCTACTCTTGGGGGATGCACTGTTGGTTGCTGACCTCCCCTCTCTCTCAACACAGGTCAGATGCCTTGTATTCCAGCAATGAATATTCCCTCCTGCAGTTCTATTAGATGGAAGATTACTCAAGAACTTTTGACATGCCTCTCAAGACAGCAACTCAACTGCCCTACCCCCCACTATCCAGATACAAGATGACACTGCAAAATAAAGCCATTCCTTGGAACCAAATACGGAAAAAAATATCCACCTGTCAGTGTACAAGATATAACTTGGATGAACTAAGGAAAGCAGTGGTTCATTTATTGATTCAATTTCTACAGCCACCCAACTCAACCAAGTGACTCTATGAATAGCAAGGCATATAGCAATAGCAATAGCAGTTAGACTTATATACCGCTTCATAGGGCTTTCAGCCCTCTCTAAGCAGTTTAAAGAGTCAGCATATTGCCCCCAACAATCCGGGTCCTCATTTTACCCACCTCGGAAAGATGGAAGGCTGAGTCAACCTTGAGCCGGTGAGATTTGAACAGCCGAACTGCAGAACCCGCAGTCAGCTGAAGTAGCCTGCAGTGCTGCATTTAACCACTGCGCCACCTCGGCTCTATAGTCAGGGAAGCATATAGAATCACCTGTTATTGGTATCCTTATTATGTTTATTATTACCCCGTTGCTTTCCATGTACATTGAGAGCTACTGCACTGGAGACAAATAAAGCATCCCACTCCATTCTCTATTTTCTATTCTGTTCTGTGGACAAGATGGGTGGCACATAAATTATTTAATAACTAATCCATATAATTATTTAATAACTAATCCAATAGTCCATTCTTTGCTGCAATAATTTGGTAATGGCCTTGACAAATCACATCTTCTCATGGCTTAAGTCCAAAGTACCAGCTGTGAAATGGGAACAACAAGAATCTTCCTCAGTTCCATGGCTTTTTTTGTCCAACGGAAGCATTATAGGCCTTATGTTTTCTTACAACAAAACTATCTCCGTATCTCAGAAAATCAAAGGAAGCCAAAACACAAAGGTTAAGAATGGACCTAAAGGCAACCACAATATTAGTATGCTGTCCAAGTCCCCTGTAGAGATCCATGTGGCTTCTACCCTGAAGGCCTTGGCCCACAGTTAGACAAGGGTTTGGGATGATGTGATCTCTCTTATTTATATTCTGTTGTGAGCTTTTTTTATCCAGTGGTTTTGGGAAGTTCTAACACATGAACTATATACATACATAAGTAATAAGATGCCATACAATGTCCCAGGACTTTAAGGGTATTAAGGGGGTAATTGCTCTCCAATGTGAGACTGCAGCCACCCCTTCCCCAAAACACACCATGCCCATTGTTCACCCACCAGACACAGCCAGGCAACTTCTCCTAAAGGCTCTTTCCTGACAACCTCAGGAATGATCCGGGAGCTCCAAATAGAAGCAGATGCAATGAGTGAATCACAAAAACCACCAATGCAAAAGCTGCTTATTTTCCCTAACCTGAAAGGCGATTAATTGGCCAGACAATCCACTTCACATGGCCTCCCCCCCCCCTCCAGAGCAAAGCCAGGCCCTTACCTGAAAATGAAGGATAATCGTCCAGATCAAACCCAGGGTGAGTTTCGGGTTCCCATCGGTGATGTCATCATTACGAATGTTCACCAGTTTCACCTGGAAATGGGATCAAAGAGGAAGATGAGGCAGAGCCAAAGGGAGCAGGGATGTCTCAATTGTACTCATCTAAAGAAAGATTCTAAACAAAATGGAAGAGCCTCATCAAAGCCAGATCCGTGGCTTGTTCTGGACATCTTAAATCAGAGTCAGAAATGAAGAAGAAGGCCAACTTAAGTTTCATTATTAATAAACACCATTTCAGCAACCCAAATCAGCCGGGATGTTTATTGTGGGTCCTTCTGAATTCTGAGTTTTTTTCTCCTGAAAAATGATTGATATTTCCTGAATCTGCTTACAACATTGGTAGCGTTTGGAAGTGTGTTGTTTTTTCACTCATAATCACCTTGTCAGCAAATACAGCTGCTTGTTGTCAGACTGTTTTAAAATCTGCTCCATCAGTTTGCCTTCAAAATATCTCAAGATATTCTAATGCAGTGATCCCCAACCCCCGGTCCGCGGACCGGTGCCGGGCCGTGGAGTACCTGGCACCAGGCCGTGCAGTGGCTGGGGGCCATGATCGCTGCAGCGGCCGGGGGCCATGATCGCTGCAGCGGCCGGGGGCCATG